CAAAATATTGATCTGCCCTGGTATATATAATTTTCCGGAGCTACTAATTTGATACCCTTGGAGCTTCCAAACTGTTTAAATTTGATTCGGGTAAACTTCTTGTTATGTGAGATGTGAGTAATGATAAAACTAGACAAATCAAAACGATATGAATCGCGAATAGATTGTAGTCGTGAATTGTATTTATACTCAATATAAGAAAGTTCTTTATTCAAACACGAAATACATACCTTTCAGTAGGTCTCTCACTAGTATAGACGCCATAGATTGCAACTAACATCACAAGTAGTTTGTGAACTACATTTAGATAAGTATCTTGACAGTTTCCCGCCTTTTTGTTTACTTCCTTAGACATCCACCTGAGCGCTGTACTATACAATGATTCAGCTACTGCTGAATAGAAGGCAGTTGGCATAATCCAAACAATTTGGTTTGTTGATTACCATTGATTTATATTAAAATTCACCTGTTGTGTCGCCGGTGAAATAAATTTTTTTGTTGTATGTTTTATTTTTGGCATATGTATCTATTGACTATTCGCTATCTATTACAATCGAACTCATTTACATTTCTGACCTGTCTCGATCCTTCGAGACAATATAGCGACACAAGTGTGACTTGTGCAGAAGTCTCTCTCCAATATTGGCATTTGCTTCCGTTCAGGAGCAGTAAGACATGTGGAGGTACAGAAGTCTTGCTTTTCGAAATACTGTACTCCTTTTTTTGTACTCCATTTATTTTCGTAATTTGATGGCATGTCTTTAAACGGCAGACATATACTACAGATAAAACTATCACTTCACAGATAAACTCAAGTGCTCGCACGTGCTATGACGGCGTGACCTTCAACTCTCTCGCCGATGAAAATAGTTGCATCAAATAACCCACTCACCCAACTCGACGAGGAAACGCAAAAGTCGTTGCTCATGAACATATTATTGAGCTGAAATATCGTTATGAAAAATTGGTTCATACATGGAAGTAGCCAGACACAGCTGAACACTAGCGGCCCACTTGAGAGGGTACAGTTCACAACACCTCTGATATAGATATATTCATTAATAATTCGAAAAAAATGTGTCGAGATCGAAATCAATATAGAACATTTCAAAACTTACACGATTCAGGCTGAATAATAATAGAAAGGGTTTTTTCACCCCCACTGCTCCAGATAATAAACACCTCTCCGTCACTGACTTTCTTGCCTGTAGAAGTTCCTATAGTCACCGTACATAAGTGTTTACTTCTATACGGTGCTATAGTTTTTTGTTTTGCTGGACTGGTTTGAACTTCAATAAAACTTGTAGTTTTTTTACACATTTTGTTTTAGATCGTCAATTAGTATTTGCTTAATGGGGATTTTATCTTTATATTCATTAAGTGATTCATTCCTTTTTTATTTACAATGCTTTTTCAAAATTACCTTTCTGATCTGATCTGATCTTTCTGATATTTCAATCTGATTATCACAAATTAAATCACCTATTATTTTATTCAGTGAGCTAATTTCACAAGAATTGTGATACTCTTTCATGTCACAGCAGTATATTACAAGGTCTGTTTAAAAAATAAGGTGAACTTTAATTTTTTCCAAAAAATATTTATTTATTCAATTTCTATTTTGCCCCCCCCCCTTCACTTGTACCAGCGTTTTTCCCATCCTCTAAACAGTTTTGTTATTCACTTTTTAGTAGGTCCTTGAACTCCCAACAATTTGGTTTTAATCACATCAATCGTCGCAAAACATCGTCAAATCTGGTGAATACGGTGGCCGATGCATAATTACGGTGTTGTTTTTGGCCAAAAAATTACGAACAAGCAATGACGTGTGAGCAGGAACATTATCGTGATGCGACAGCTATGAACTGTGTTGCCACAATACCGGAGGTTTTCTTCGTATTGCTTCTCGCAAGCGGCGCATAACTTCAAAATAATACTCGAACTTGGCGTACTTTTTTGAAATGAAATGAAATTGTTCATTGAAATAGGAAACCTAATATACATATGAAACATTGTTTACAAATCATACTCAAATTTTTTATTTTGGGACGATTGGATTTTGGTTTCGATGTCTTAACTATATACCCATGATTTGCACCACTTATAATCCTTTCAAGCAAATCTGGATCGCCGATGACGTCATCCAACAATTCCTGAGGAATTATCATGCGTCAAAAGTCTGCAATTTTGGAACGACCTTCGCTGCCACACGCTTCATGCCCAAAATCTACGAAGAAATTGCAAGGCATGAGCCAACCGATACGCCGACATCTTCAGCAACTTCTCTTATAGTAAATGAATATTACCGGAGTTTTTTCCCAACACCAAATCGTTATTTTTAACACCTCGACACGACACAAATCATACTTAAATTTTTGGTTTTGGCTCTTCCATCGGGACGATTGGACTATGGTTTCGATGTCTTAACTATATACCCACGATTCGCACCATTTATGATCCTTTCAAGCAAATCTGGATCGCCGATGACGTCAACCAACAATTTCTGAGGAATTATCATGCGTCAAAAGTCTGCAATTTTGGAACGACCTTCGCTGCCACACGCTTCATGCCCAAAATTTACTCTTGAAGATGATCCCTTGAAGGTGGTTACTTTTATCCCAAAACCAAACCGTTATTCTGTTATTTTTAACACCTCGACACGTGTTTCAATCACCAAGTGATCATCTTCAAGAGGAAGATAAAACTCCAGTAATATTCATTACTACAGCAAAGGTTGCAAACAGTATATCATAAGTTCTCTTATAGTAATTTGAAATTTCTCCATAACAATTTTCTTGACTCTCAACATTTTCATCAATTGTTGATGTGCTGGGGCGTCCAGGGCGTTGTCGTTCACGTCTTCTCGACCTTCTGTGAAAAGCCAGTCTTCAAGCATAGCCCACTGACTAATAAGAAAGTTTTTCTTCCTTATTCAGAGGAATCGGGCAAATTACGGATATGCAGTTGGTTAGTACCTCGTCCACTAGATGAAGCGACATTTTGTTGATCGCTCCAACTTAGGAAGAGGAGTGAAATACTCTGAAAGAATTCAGGTTTTATGGAATATCGTTGACTTTAGTTCGATGATGGCCACTATCTTGCACTGACGAGTGGCTAATCAGTCCGAAACTGGTCTGCAAGTGTTGCCGTTACAAAATTGAAGGTCGACTATTTCAGTTGTATTGCCAATTGCCTATGCAGGAAATTTTATGTGAAAATTCCAAACATCGGAAGACCACTGGTGAGGGTCTTCCGATGTTTCGCCGTAAAACACTTGCCTTATCAGCTCTTCAGCACCAAATTTTGATAACATTATAAGAAAAAACACTCAGTTCATTCATAAAATTACAATTTTGTCACGAATGACTTTAATCTATAAATGTCATCGATGACAGTATGTAATGATATTCATTTACTCATTTGATTAAATCCCAGTCATAGGGATAAATTGAAATGGATATATTTTAAGGAGAGATTGATTTTTGGGAAAAGAGGTTTTAACTTAATGAGCCTTTTTCCTGAGTATAGTACAGCGAACGTGTCACGAGAGGCAGCACTAGTAGTAAGGACAAACAATAAACTATTCACATGTAAAACAGTGTAATTTACGTAATATTAATTTATTANTGAAGGCCGGCGTTGCTATTGGCCGAAGTGTTATTACCTGCGAAGTGTATATGGGTATCACCAAGAGATCCATGGGTACAAGGGTAAATGAACATCGGAGAAACTGTAGATTAGGTTAAATAGAATAATCGGCAGTAGCAGAACACTTGTTTAGTGAGGGAGACCATACGATACTTTTTGAAGATGTGAAACTACTTCCACCCGATCTTGGGTACTACATCAGTCGGCTTGTACGGAAGCCATAAAAATCCATATACATACAGAAAACTGCAACAGAAAAGTGGAGGCGATAACGCTTAACCGGATTTGGAATCCCATACTAAAAGATGCTTAGGTGGGAACAGTGCAATGCAATGTAACACCATCAACAGGTAATAACACTTCGGCCAATAGCAACACATCAACAAGAAAGGCGGACTACCTGAGTGAACATAAGTACAACTTATGAACTAGAAATCACTAGTCATCGGTGAACCATCAAGATGAATAAACCTCTGAAGAAGCCAGCCACTCGTGCTGGCAAAACGTTAGGATACAGTTCCAAACCACGACGGCCTTCAAATCCGAAGATCGTGACAATGAAAAATTTTAATTGCTTGAATCAATTCCAGATTATTTGTATGTTAAATTATCTGAAGGAAATAACTGTTTCAAACAAACATTTAGCATCAAGAGGTGAAGGGTTTCTTAGACAAACATGGAACGAGCAACTCAGTCTAACCAGAATTGTACTTATACTCATAAGCTTATGTCAGAATGAAGTTGAAGAATATTGATTTTGAACCCTTGTATCTAGATTTCAATTTGAAACTTACTATGAGTATAAGTGAGTTTTGAAACATAAGACAAAAATGGAAATAAAATATTTTTCGTATTCAACTCATTTATTATTTTGACCATAATTATGTCTAATAATACATCACAATAGTAAAAATATCATCAACTATTAAACAATAACAGAAAATTCGAATGTTTTCTCTATTCACAGTCGATAAGTCTTAGTTTTATCAATATATATTTCAGTATAGTAACCTGTGTATATACAACTCAGATCAGAAAACATTAGGACTCAGGGTCACCTGCATTTCTATTTTCTATCACTTCTTCCTCCATCCTGTTGTATCTTCTATTCATGAATGCCCTTATTTTGATGAAGGTTGTCGCAAAAGTTATTCCATTATAAACGCACATTCCAATTAATAGTAGAGCAAACCCGAGAAGCTGAAATGAAAAAAAAAGTTCTTCGTAAAAAAAAACAAATTGGAGTTAGATATTTTAAAGAAGGCATTCCCTATTAGAGTTCAGTGATCATTTTGAGAACCAAAATGCCACTTTGACTCCCATAAGAAATTGAACAATGTATTCGGAGGTTTTCAAGTTACTTTTTGTACACCTGAAACACAGGTTAGATACTGGTTAAATGTTGTCCGTCACTATTCAACAAAACATATAGTCTTTGATTTTCTCCTCGACTTGGATTCTAGAGTATTTTGACATTCATGGAATACGAAAGTTGAAATAAGCCAAACTCTGCAGAACCAGTATTTCAAAGAGGCAAATAGGATCTTCTAACAAGAACTTTATCATAGCATTATCAAAGAAAAACCAATTGTCAAGAAAGATCTGAACTAGAAGCGAAGATGGGTGTAATAACTTGTTAGGTACCAGAGAGCATTGGTTATTATGCGGAGTGTTCTGTTTTGAAACCTTTGTATGATATCAATGTTTGAATGGGATACAGCGCCCCACAGTTTGATTCCATACGTCCAGACGGGCTTCAGTATTGCCTTGTACAGAAGTATTTTATTTTCCCGATCATATTTGATGAAAATTATTTTTGTGTTTATTATTGTCAATGTCAATTTATTTCAACTGTCCATTACTTGCGCTCAAATTATCAACATCGCTGCTCAAACCCCGTATCACCCGTCCATTAACAAGGTATTGTATATGTTAATTGAAACTTTTTATATAGATTTTTCCAATAAACAACCATCATCAGGTCGTTGCTTTCTTTTAATTAAATAAAAAACAAATATATACCAGTCGTATTAAAAACAATCTTTCTTTTTTTCCTCTTTCTTTCAGATTTAATATCCTAATAGAACAAACATCATTTTCCACTCCAGCTCTAATGTGAGTAATATCTGAAACTACTGTAGTTTCGTTTGCTAGCTCCTGTCTCTTTTCTCTAATTGTGCTTTCCCTATATCTGGCAGACATTGTGAATTATCTATCAGAATTTAAAGTTATCTTGTATGCAGATGATCTATTAATCTTGGTATCTAAAGAATATTATGATTCAAATGAACAATCTGGTATTGATTTGATGCATAAAATTTCAAAATGGTTTTCAAAAAATAAGCTGTATAGAAACCCAGCGAAAACTGAATTTCTTATCTTCCATATAAGACAAAAACAAATTAAAAATATCAACCTGACCTTAAACAACACTAACGTGAACTGTAATACCTCTGTTAAGTTCTTAGGTCTGAATATAAATGATAAACTAAANCCGTTATTTCCGGGCTATAGTTCATTCATCAATAGTTTAAAAGAACATCGGAGCCCCAAGGCACATGTCTGATACGTTGATACTATGAGCTTTGTAGTGGTTTACCAGTTTTTGTGTTTCACTTGTCATGTTTGTGAATCACGAGACCAGCATTTCTGCTGATAAGGGAGAATAACAACATATTTTATATTTATAGTGTCTTAACTATGTTGAACTGTACGCTGTTGTTATATTTTTAATTAAAAAAAAAACTCTCAATGAACTCTACCACTCAAATATCCAAGAACTAAAATTGTTAGGACTGTGAGTCTGAGCGAGATTAGCGGAAGGTTAATACAATTTTCAGTTTTTACCTGGAGCCAATGGAACTTTTGTCCTAAAAATGCAAGGCTGAATATCCATATTACTATTGTTCTCACGCTGTCAAGTACCATTCTAGTAGTGGCAGATAACTCTTTGGTAACGCTTATTCCAGCAAAATTGAAAAATGCAATTGACGTGATGGTTCCTGAAAAATACATGTGTGGCATGAATTGATTGTTTGGAACACACCTCTCACAATATGTTCAACCTTTGATTTTCCCACATTATTTGCTATGCTAGTAATGGGATATTATCAGTCAATATACTTTATTGTCTTAAAAAAGATTTTATTATTGACAAAGTCTATGACCATCATCCAATATTAATTATATTTTATGTATATATATATTGTTACA